ACACACACACACACCTGCACACACTCACTGACACACGCTCACTCGTGCATACCCACCTGCACACACTGACACACACACACACCTGCACACACTCACTGACACACGCTCACTCGTGCATACCCACCTGCACACACTGACACACACACACACCTGCACACACTCATGCACACCCACCTGCACACACTGACACACGCTCACTGACACACACACCGGCACACACTGACACCTACACTCACACATCTGCACACCTGGATGCACACACACTCTCAGGCACATGTACTCAGTCTACACCCCTGACACACTCGAGCTGCTTGGAACCCCTCAGCACACACACCGGCACATCCCCACCCCGCACGCATGCGCACACAGACATGCTGCCCATCGGCCGCTGAAAGCACACGCACGAAAGGCACACACACCCCTGTCCCCCGCCACAGCCGCCCCCCTTGAGCTGCACACACAGGCACGCCGCCAGGCCTGCAGCCGGCACTGGGCCATTGTGTAGCCCCGTCTGGGGTGGCCGCAGCCTCTAAGACGTCCGGGGGACTGAGTGGGCAGCGACTTCAGAGCTCGCGTCCTCCGCTCCTCCGATTCAGAGGCCTGAGGAGGAGGCCCCTGAGGAGGGCCGTGTCCCACTGTCCCATGCTACCTCCAGGGCAGAGTTGGGTCGTGCGGCCACACAGTGTGAGGAAGCCTACTGTGTGACTCGGGACAGTCCCTGCCCGTCTCTGGGCCTCCAAAGAGACCATCTGGAAGCTCCTTCCACAGTCAGTGCTGGTTATGTCCCCAGCCTGGCCTGGCCCCGAACTCCAGACTTGTGTGTTCAACCCTGGCCCTGACAGCTCACTTGCACCTCAGCGGGCATTGCCAACAGCACGTCCATAGCCCCTGCCTGCCGCCATGCCGGCTCCTGGGACGCCTTCCCCTCCCGGGTGCAGGGAAATGCCTTCCTTCCCAGCGACCACTCAGATGAAATCCTGGAGTCACCCTTGGCTCTCGCCTACGCCCCACCCCACGTGTCTCACCCCATCAGAAACCTGCCAGCCCCACCCCCAAACCCAGACTCCCTGCCTGCTCCGCACCCTCCTGTGGCCCGGGGCAGTGACCTCCAGCAGCCGCCAGGACCCGCCTGGTACGCCCTCCCAGGGCTCGGAATGCCACAGGGCGCTCTCCTCACCCGGGTAAAGGCCGGCATCCTTCCCACAGCCTCGGTCCTGCAGCGGCTGCCGGTCACCTCTCTGAGCTCGTCCCCACACCCCTCTGGCTTCCTCAGGCCCACCCTCCTTGCGGGGAATAAGCTGCTTCTACCCACACGCGCGGTTGATCATTATAACAACTGGGAGGCTGTCGGGAAGGGCGGGGAATAAGCTGCTTCTACCCACACGCGGTTGATCGTTTTAACACCTGGGAGGCTGCCGGGAAGGGATCCTGGCCCCAAGTTACTGATAAGGAACGGAAGCCAGAGAGGCCAGCTGGCTCGCCCAGGTCCCACAGGTGGACACGGGGCTCCGGCCAGGACCTGGGGTCGTTGGTCCACCATGATGCCACTGACTTCAGTGACCTGGGCACATCCCAGGTCCTCAGGCCACACCAGCGGGAGGCAGGGCCACCCCCTCGGCAGTCCAGCCCAGGACGGCCCTCCACCATCACCGAGGCTCCGAGGCTTCCTGGGCAGTGGGGGTCCCGGGATGGGGGATGGAGGAGAAACGGGGGGCCAACGAGAAGGAAGAGGGGGCTGAGCAGGGAGAGGAAGGGGGTCTAAGAAAGAATGAAGGATGAAAGAGGGGGAGTGTCCCAGGCCAACAGCAGGGAGGAAGGGACAGGGGTGGCGGGCAGGAAAGAAGGGAAGGGGGTGAGAGGGAGAGAGCCAAGCGAGGCATGGATGGAGAGAGAGGGAGAGGGAGAGGGGCGGGGTGGCGAGAAGACGGAGTCGGGGAGGGAAGACGGGAAGAACAGAGAAAGGAAGAGACAAAGAGGGAGCGGGGACGAAAACCCCAGCGCCCAGAGAGAACAGCTGCCCCGGAGACGGGGACATTTCCGGAGCCCCTCGGAAGGCTGCCCGCTCGCCGCCCGCGCCCCGGCCCGCGCTCACCTTGTCGGCCGACTGCGAGGTGCCGAAGAAGATGGGGATGAAGGCGAGCCAGACGATGCAGGTGGTGTACATGGGGAAGCCGATGGGC